TGTTGATAACAGGAAACAATTTTGTTTTCTTTTGAATATTTCATCTATACTATGATATTCATCAAACTAGTAGATTGCTGAACCAGAACTGCAAATCTGACTTTTGTAGTTTTGTTTTTTATTTATTTTAATTTTATGTGCATGAGTGTTATGCCTGCACATATATAAGTGTATCACATCCATGCCTGGTGCCTGAGGAAGTCAGAAGAAAGTGTGGGATCTCCTGCAACTAGAGTTACAGATGGGTTTTAGATACCGAGTGGGTGCTGGGAACCGAACCCAGGTCCTCTGCAAGAGCACCCAGTGGTCTTAAATGCTAAAACATCTCTCCAGCTCCACTTCTATAGTTTTTAACATGAATTACAGATTGTCTTTTGAAAAACCTAAGAATAATTTGGTTCACCATAGTACCTGACATTTTGAATAGCAAATCTACAGAGAATATTTGGCTTTCATTTAGTTTACAAGTGTTTGTAATACATGAACTGAGAAGTTTTAAAAATTAACATATACTCGAAACGTTATAATTACCAATACTTATTGTCTACAACATATGCTAGAGGACAACAAATATTAACGATGACCGTACTAAAATATTTTATTTATTTTTAAAAGATTATTTTATCTAATAACCAACTGATTACAATCTGTGCTATTCATATACTTCTAGGTGTGGGGCTATTTGCTGGAGTGTGGTCGATATTACCAGAAGCCACACTCTCAAACAAAACTAACTCTCTCTCTGCCCCAGAAGCCATCAACTGTCCATATCCCCTCAGTTAGGGGTAGGGGCTCATGTATGCTTTCCCAGTCCATGCTAGAATGCTGACTAGCTTGATCTTATGCAGATGTGCAGGCAATCACGGCTGCTGTGAGTTCATGAGTGTAGTGGTCCTATCTATCATGTCTAGAAGACAATGATGCTCATAGTTTTTAAAACACATGGGAAGCCTAGTTTTACTAGAATAAATTAAGTTCACATAATACAATGGGATATCTAACTTTTTGATGCAGTGATAGGTGACTGTCATCTATAATTATGTTGGGCCACATTCATAGCTATCCTGGGATGTACACAGACTATGGGCTACAGATAGACATGCCTGGTTCAAACAAAGCCTTTCAAAATTCACTATATATTCACTAATGAAAATATACATTAGAAAAAGGATGCTTGTTCTTCTTATATGATGATCAAGGGTTTTTAAGATTACATAGACAAAAATTCTGAAAAAAACCTCAATATGATAAGGCATACACTTCAAATACAAAAGCTATTTTCCTTTAGCTTGGGATTTTTGTTTAGTTTTTGCTTATTTTCAAGATGAAGTCTTACTATATGCAGCCCAGGCTGGCTGCAAACTCATAGAAATCCTTTTGCCTCAACCTCTTGAGTGTGAGAACAACAAATGATGTAAGCCATCACACTCAGCTTTGCTCAGGAGTTAACAAAATAATAAATACACTATCCTTACCATCTACGTTTCATAAACAGCTAGTAAACTACTGGGAAAAATATAGCTTGACATAAAGCTTCTTTATTCCTTTTTGCAGGGGTTAGGGGATAGCAGGGGAGACAGGGTCTCATTCTGTAGTCCAGGATGGCCTGGAATTCACTATTTCAGATTGACCTTGAACTTGTGGAACTCTTCCTGCCTCAGCTATTGCAGGTGCATGGATTATAGGTGTCAGTCACTGTTCCTGGCTATTATTCTTTTTTTTTTTTTTTTTTTTTTTTTGAAGCTATATTCCTCTTGGCTATCCTTCTTTAAAAAAGACATACAATCATAACTAGTATTATGGGAAAAACTAAAATACATTTTAGAACTCAATGTCAAACAAGTCTAGGACTATCATTTTATTTTATAAATCACAATGTATAGATTAGGTTGTTAAGATACCCTGAAACTAATTATCAAACACTGTATTAATACAAGGATATTACTTACATCAAATTGTGCTAGAACTGTTCCGGTGATAAGCCCCTCAGCTAGCTGGATCATTGACTCCCGCAGGGAGTGGTCATCTTGATGGACACTATCTTGTGGGGTTTTCTCAGGAATGTACTGGAAGTCTGGCTCACTTTCTAGCTTTTCTTCCACTATATCATATACAGCTAAAACAACAACAACCAAAAAATATATATATAGAAATCTTAATGAAACTCAGAGTAAGGAATTATCAGGAATTTTCTACAGTTTCAGGAATTAATAATTACATCAGATCTGATTACATTACATCTGAGTGTGATGCCTTGTATAATGACTAATTGTGACTGGAATTGAAGGGCTTTTGCTGTACCTTTGGAAAAGGAAGGGTTCTAGCCATATACTTTAAAATGTCCATAATTTGTGGCTGGAGAGATAGCTTAGTGGTTAAGAACAACTGCTACTCTTGCAGAGGACTTGGGTTCAGTTCCCAGTCCCCACATGGAAGCTCACAACTGTCTGTAATTTCAGTTCCAGTAGATCTGAACTAGTAGGCCCCAGGCGCACACATAGTACACATTCATATATGCAAGGAAAATACTCATACACATAAAATAAAATAATCTTTTTTTAATGTATATAATTTGAAGAGACATTAAGGTGAGGCAGGAGCCAGTGAGATCATTCAGTGGGTAAAGATGCTTGCTGCCAAGCCTAAAGACCTGAGTTCAATCCTAGGGATCCACATGGTAGAAGAAGACAACCAACTCCTGCCAAGTTGTCCTCTGACTTCTACACATAAACATACACATACAAAAATAAATAGATGTTTAAAAAAAGATGACGATAACGATGACAACAAGGCAGTGTGGAACTATAGCTCTGAACTGAACTGTCCTTAATTTGTGGGACACAAGGCAAAAATACAAACAGAGGCCTACGGAACCATTATGTCTAAAGGTACAGACTTTGATCATATAAGTTACAAGTTAAGTGAACAGAGTGCTACACAAAATATGCTCTACCCTTTCTCCTAGGCCTAGCTAGTCACTAAGTATAATTCATGGTCACATTAGTGCAAAGAGAATTCTAGGCCCCAAATGCTAGGCCCATAGAAGATGCTAGGCCCACAGCTTACCCTAACTTCTTTTCCCACTTAGCTCCATTCTTTAACATGGGATCTATAAACACACATGTGGACAGTCCACTCACATGAAAATTTGTCTGTTCTCTGCAAATGACTGTCTTTTAGCCACCTTGCTAGACTAGGGAACACATACCGTACGATCCATACTTTTGAGGAACTGACCTGGGAAAATGCCCATGAAGGCCTAGGAACTGGGTTCAGGATTACTTGGACAGAGAACTGAGGACATTAAAAAGTGCAGACACTTTAGGAGATGGCTTGCTATGTCCCTGACTCCACTGGAAGGGAGATGAAGTGGCAGGGAAAACCTTTAATATGGAGCCAAGGCAGGAGTCTCTGCCCTTTGTCTAGAGAACTAGTTCTACTCAGATATTTATTCTTTTTCTTTAAAAAGCAAATTTCTGAAATGAAGAACAAAGACAAAAGGTATGACTGCATTTTGCCTAAGAAGAAATAAGAATTGAAGAGGAAATGATCAGAAAATCAAAAGCATATATTTTTGGCAAATGATTTCAATTTTTGATTATAAGTTGCATACGTTAAAAAAAAAAGTAAAAAAGAAAAAAGAGAAGCTGGGCATGGTGGAGCATCCTTTAATTCCAGCACTCTGTGAGTCTGACACCAGCCTGGTCTACATAGGGAGTTCCAGACCAGCCATAGCTATATTATGAGACCCTGTCTGGGGAGGGAAGAGGACATGATAGTCCCACCCTGAAAATGAAGACAGATTCCAGTCTTGAAAAATCCTTTCTAAGACCCCAACTGGGTTCTTCTCCTAATTTAAAGCACAACCACAGCAATCTCAAATTGCAAAAAAGATGTACCCTTGTCATCATAGGGATTTTTGTTTAGATTTTGGCTCTGTACTAGTCATTAGTCTGTGAGCAGATAAAAGAATGTTCCAAAGTATCTTCAACTTTAAAACTTATCATGTTGGGTGGTTCTGATAATTAAATGAAAGCATCCAAAAGAACCTAGGTACAAGAAAACTTTTAAATCACCACTAACTGTTATTATTTAGTATTTTAGGAGCTATTATCAGCTGACAACAGAAAAATAAAAATTGAGAGATTACTGGTGGTATGAAATTGATACTTTAACAGAAATGTACAGTAATGAGCAAATCACCTCAGTAGCAAATCTAAATGTACAAGTTTCTTGAACAATCAAAACAATAGCCTGTTAATGCCCCTTCAATCTTCATGGAAAGCCAATTCTAGACCATACATGGAGAGAAATATAAGGTACAGAAGATAAAAGAAAATGCTTGCTTTGACCCAAGAGAATTTTTCTTTTCTTTAAAATACTTTCACTGTGATATTCTCATATATGAATACAATGGACTTCAATTATATTCACTCCTTTCCTCTTGTCTCCCTGCCCCTCAAAGACCCACCTTTCTATTTTCAAGTTTTTAAAATGCAGATGCTGCATATGTAAATAAAACTCATGTTGTTTTTAATCTATATATTGATAGGTACTTAGGCTAACTGCATAACTTGCCTATTGTGAACAGAGCCACAATGAATATAAATGATCAGGACATGGCATGATTAAGCAAGTGGACATTACCTACTGAAAAAAAAACATTATTAAAAGCACTGATTGCTCCTGCAGAGGATCTGAGTTTGATTCCCAGCACCCACATGGTGGCTAACAATCATTCATAGCTCCAGTCCCAGGGGATCTGAGGCCTTCTTCTGGACTCTATGAGTTTGCACACATGTGGTACACTTACATATATGCAGACAAAACACTCATATACATAAAAAATAAAAATTTTAAAACCCAACCAAACTTTTAATGAATGCTTGTTATATATAATTTTCTAAAAGTATAACAGAGATCATCATTTACTCATTCATTCAATAACTATTACTGAATAGATAACACTATTACTAGAGTGGCAGGAGAGAGAAGTCATTTTAGGTATGGTAGAACAAGCAGAGAAAGCCTTTCTAAGGATAGTATTTTAGCAGAAACCTGAATGAATTGAGGACATAAGTTATATAAAAATCAAGACGCATTTGCTGGGCAGAGAAAACAGTAAGAATACAAACCCTAAAGTAGATCGGATTGGAGCTTTTGGAGAACAGTAAGAAAGCCACTGTAGAACAAAGGTGAGTACATGGATAAATGAGCAGTAAGGAAACCAAGAATTTGCTTTTTTTCCCTCCAAGTGTGAATAGAAGCTACTCTCCTCTGACAGGAGATGACATATTTTAAAAGCCAACTCTGGCTTCCGTGTCTAGTAATAAACAGTACCAAATTATGACAAAAACCCAGTGCTAAAAACATACTCACCATTAGGTCGGACTAGAAGCACGAGTTCCCCAGAATGTTTCTCACAGCTAGCTTTAATAAACAGGACAACTTGATCATGGGTATGTTCTGTAATGTCCCGACCATTAATCAGTACTACTTGGTCCCCTTCATTCAGTCGAGGGACACAGAGGTCAGCCTTAAATAAATATAATGTAGATAAGGTTTTAGATTTGGGTGTGGTGTTCTGAAAGTATAGTTTGTTTTTTTTTTTTTTTTGAAACAGGGTCTCCCTGTAGCCACAGCTTGCCTGGAACTCACTATGTAGACCAGGCTGGCCTTGAACTTATAGCAACCTGCCTGCTTCTGCCTCCCAAGTGCAAGGGAACTATGACTACATATAAAAAGCACTTGTGCAAGGCCGAGAGATGGCTTGGAAAAGTGCTTGATGTGTAGCATGAGGATCTAAGTTCAGATCATCGCCCCCACATAAAAAGTCAGGTATTACAGTGTGTGTCTATAATAGTAATACTGGGGAGGCAGAGACAGGAGGATCTCTAGCTATCAGAAACCTCCAGGTTCAGTGAGAGATGTTGTCTCAAAAATTAAGGTGAAGTGTGGCTGAGGAAGACAACTGACATCAGCCTCTGGTACACACGCATGCATGCGCACGCACACACAGACACAGACACACACACAATGCTATGCATTCATTCATCTACTTGAAAAAGCAGAAATTTAGTTTCCTCTTGAAGATTTAATTTTGTTTCACAGCTTCACTGAACAAATTCCTTTCTTATGACCCACTATGTCATATGCATACACATATGCAGTCTTAATTTTGTACTGTTTAAACATATACAGGTTCAGTTCCCATGACTCAATAATAGTAGTTCCCCAAAAAATCATCCAAATTTTAGTTTTCATGATATATTAATTGTGAATTGTCACATAACATACAAGCTTTGCTATTAGTTCTTCAGTCTTAAAAACAACAACAACAAAACACTACATCAAAACCAGACATACTACAACGAGTAAGCCATCAGATTTTTCAAAGCATATCCATTATTCAGTTCATGACTATGAAGCAAAGTATGCACCTTGCTTCTCCTTGATTCCCAGTGGTAAAGTCATACAATAATCTAAAAGAGGAATTACCCAAAGAAGACAGCAAAGATATAAAACATGATTGGTCCTAGAGGTGAAATTTGGACTAAACATAAATGGAGTTAGAGAACATGTGATTGTGGAAATGTGAACATGTTACCATGAGATAGTCTAGATAGGCAGCCAAAAGAACTTGAGGTATTTTCACAACATCGAATGTTCAAAGCACAAAATATTAGAAGTAGATCCAAACTTATGGAGTATCTTAACAATTTGCTAAGGCAAGATAAGATGCTCATCCTGTGCTGTCAGTTTTATGACAAGATGGAGGCAAGCACTATTTAGACTACTTGTGACAAGTTTTCAGAAAGAAATAAAACATTACTTTTCAGTATTTCTGATGCTTTGAACTACAAAGTACTATTTTTTTTCATTTATCTGCATCTTTGTAAGATATAACAGAAAATAATTTAATGTATAGAAAAAGATATAAAAGTCATGAGAACAGTATAATTTTTCTAATTGGTCATAAGCCCATTGCATGACTTCACCTTCCATGGTCATTTTTACAGTCCTGCACTTTTGTGCAAAGTGAGTACTGCCTGAATACTGAGAAAACCATGCAGTGATACAAGTAAAGGAGATACGAGAAAAAGAAATATGGACAGTATGTTCTAAGAACACAACAATGAGAACATATAACTACACATGAAGGATGACAGGTCAGGCAGTGAAAGAAATGCTGGGCCAGGATCTTAACCAGAATGGAAGTCCCTGTGGCAAAGGTGTGGAGAAATGGAAGCATGCTACTCAAATTGACTATAAACAAAATTTTCATAATATCCAACAAGGCAGTGTGATTAGCAGATGAAATGTGTGCTCTGAGAGAACTGACACCCTGAACACGGAACAGAAAGACACTTGCCCTGATTATTTCCCAGAGTTGTGAAGTTAAAAATTAGTTAATTCAATCAAATTTTTTAAAATCTCAAATATTCAAATTGAAGGCTATATTCATTCTTTCCAGTTTTTTTCCTATTTATTTGGTGAAGCAGATGACAAATATTCATATATTCCCTTTCTGACGTGAGATGCTTCTTGAGCACCTGTTTGGTTCCAAGCTTTTGTAAGTGTATGCATGGGGTACCTGAAGTGAGGGGGGGATGGTTGCTAATATACTGGGAGAAATGTAATGTGCTGCAGAAGAAAGAGCTGTCTTCTCACAATTACTCTGTGGGTAGTATAGCTGGTAGAAAAAAGGAAATAGTCTATGAGATAGAGGAGACAGCTATAAGTCTTTTACTATACCCATTTATCACTGAAGGGAACTTTCTCATACTTAACATGCCTTTAGTCAGATATACATTTTTTTTTGTGTGTGTATTTTTTGAGACAGGGTCTCCCTGTATCCCCAGCTGTCCTGGAACTCACTATGTAGACCAGGCTGGCCTTGAACTCACAGAGATCCGCCTGCTTCTGCCTCCCGAGTGCTGGGATTAAAGGCATGTGCCACCACACCCGGCCCAGATATACATTTTTATCTGCATTTCATTCTGATCTGAAAAGTCAAGATTCACTGCATATTAGACAAATTTCTAACAGGAACAGCCATTGGCTGGTTAAAAGATTACGATACAAAAAAGAAAAAGATGACTAATTTGAATTATCCCTTTGGGAAATAACCAATATAAAAAGGAAAAAGACACTAGGGGCTGGAGAAATGACTCAGTGGTTGACAGCACTGGCTACTCCTGCAGAGGACCCAGGTTTGGTTCCCAGCACCCACATGATGGCTAACAACTTGCTGGAACTCCAGTTCCAGGAGATCTAGTGCCTTCTTCTGGCCTTCATGGGCACTGCACATGTGTACGGCACTTACATGCAGGCAAAACGCTCAAAAACATTCTTAAAGGCACTAATATAATTGAAATGTTGTTTCTTCCAATCATCTGAGGAAAAAGAAAGTGGGCTCCACATGCTGTGGTGGTATCTAAATTAATGAAATAATATAAAGTGACAAAATTCTATTTACTGCTTTAGTATCTTCTAAATTTGACTGAATTTACATTTTATTTATAGAGTTCTACGTACTAGAACTAGTCTATGTAATAGAATTTTATTTATAGCTGGGAGTGGTAGTGCATGCCTTTAATCCCAGCACTTGGGAAGCAGAGGTAGGCTGATCTCTGTGAGTTCAAGGCCAGCCTGGTCTACATAGTGAGTTCCAGGACAGCTGGGGCTACAGAGAGACCCTGTCTCAAAAAGACCAAAAAAAAATTTTTTTTTAAATTTATAGAGTTCTATGTAATAGAAGCAGTGGAGTTAGCACTAATGTACATATCTTATAAGAATAGTGCATATTCATTGTCATAATTCAGAAGAATATAAAAGAAAGTGAAAATATCAATAATTCAATTATCTAGGAGTAACACTGCTAACATTTTTAGTATGTTTCCAAATAACACATCAGTAAGAATTATTCTATGATGAACAGAAAATTCATCACTGTTGAAGCTTAATGATGAGTGACAGGGCATTCACTGTAATAAGCACAATGTGTTTAAAATTCGCAAATACAAGTTTTAAAAATGTTTCTCATATTAGCATTTCCATTTAAAGTAATTTTAAAAGCAGAAAGTAGGCAAATGATGTACCAGTATAAATAAAAAAGCAAACAGCAACAACAAAAATCCCTTGAAACTATACCTTCATCCACATTTGTCATAAGGAGGTTGTTTTGACAGAACCTGTTAATACAGCAGTAGCATTCAAGGAAATTGTCTTCTTTGTAAGATGTAGACTCAAAGAGCTTCCCAGCAACTTATGATATTTATCCTTTAGATTTAACATTTGGACTTGATAAAGAGTAATGATTGAAAGAAAAAAATTTTTTGGTCTTTTTGAGACAGGGTCTCCCTGTAGCCCCAGCTGGCCTGGAACTCACTATGTAGACCAGATTGGCCTTGAATTCACAGAGATCAGCCTGCCTCTGTCTCCCAAGTGCTGAGATTGAAGGCGTGAGGCACCACACCTGGCTATGATTAAAATTTTTATTTAAACTAATAAAAAAACTTTTTAAAAAGTATATATCCTTAAAAACAGGATTTCTTGAAAAATTTAGGTAACTTACAGGTGTTCCTGGTGCTACTCGGGACACAATTACAGGCATCTTCTGATCACATCCTCCCTTGGAAAAAAAAAGAAGAAATCAAATATTAGCAAATTAAGAACATCTGAATATAAAAACTGAATATAACACAAATTCCAGATTACCTTTACATTGAATCCAAACCTTCCATTTTCATCAGGTTTCATTCTGATTAGAACAAGATTATCATGTGGAATACCACCATTAGGCTTGAAAAGAAAAAAATAAAAAATTTTCATATTATATATAAAGGTTATATTTCTCTACATGTATTATCTATCTACAGTGCATGTAGATAAAAATTCTAATCAAAGAGTTAGTTCAGGAAAATAAATTTCCTTAACTAATAACTTGCAGATACATTCTCTCATACCTCCTTCCACTCTACTGGCAAAAACACTGGCAAACTTCAAGAATTTGCTGTTTCTTTCTCCTAATCCTCTCTACTACTAGTCTGGTTTTTCATTCCCACCACTGCGTAACTGCTAATTAAGGACACCAAAGATTTTCACGTTGCTAATTCCAGTATTCAATTCTCAGTCCAATTCTTACTTGAATTACCTGTAGCATTTGACAAAAGTAGTCACTTTATCCATGGTTTCTTCTTAACAGCCCACTGAGTACTTTTCCTTCTACCTTTCTGTCTGAAAATTCTCAGTCTCCTTTAAAGGTTTCTTTTACTGCCCTTGTTTTTATAATGTGTATAACTGTAAGCTCAGTTTCTAGAGCCTCTTTTTGAGATAATTATGTACTTTTTCTGTTTTGGGTTTTTTTTTTTTTTTAAACTTTTCATGTGTATGTGTGTAGAGTTCACCCAACAGGCTAGGTTGGCTGGCCACCCAAAAACATGTGTGTGTGTGTGTGTGTGTGTGTGTGTGTGTGTATGTGCATGGGGGCATATTCATGTGGGTGTTGGTGTGTATGTCAGTGGGCATACATGCAGATATGTGTGCCTGTCTATGGAGGCTAGGGGACAATTCTGGGTGGTATGTCTCAAGTGCTATCCATCTTGTTTCTTGATAGTATCTCTCATTGGGACCTGGGGCTTACCACATAGAGTGAGGATGGCTGGCAGGTGAGACCCATGGATATACCTGTGTACACATTCTCAGCACTGGAATTATAAGCCCATGATATCACACCCAGCTTTTTTTACATGGGTTCTAGGGATCATTCAATGTTTGCTGTGCTGAGTAGGATCAACTACCAATGTCTTAGGTAGGCCCAATCCCTTAAAGTACAGAGTCATACATCTGTCTTCGTCTCCAACTTTGAATTTTTTTTTCTTTTGTAATGGGCTTAAGGAACTAGTTAAGTACTCTGTTACTGACTGAGCTACATCCCTAGCTCTCCAAATTGATTTCTAATAGGCTTCTCAAACTTACTGTATTTCAAACTATGTTCCCATACTACACACAGATTTGCTTTAAAAGCAACCTTTCACATCTCAAAAAACGTCAGCATCATCCTTCTAATTATTTCAATTTCCTTACAATACCACTATCCTGGTTCAAACCATCATTATTTACTGTGAAAACTACACTAATATACAGCCAGGCTTTGTTTCATCTCCCTCCTGACAGTGCCTTACTCTGTAGCCTAGGCTGGCCTTAAACTTGTCACAATCCTCCTGCCTCATCTTTTTGAGCATTAAGATTACAAGCATGAGCCACCACCCCTGACTTGTTTAATTAGTATCTTTACTTCTACCCTGTTTGAATTGATTTTCAATACAGTAGCCAGAGCAACACAATTAAAACATGACAATATCTCACTGCCAGTCATTTCCTTTGTATGGTTTGAATGAATGCCCTCAAAGTTCATGTGTTAGAAATTGAATCACCAAACATATAATGTTATTTGCAAGTAGGACTTTGGGGAAAAAATCAGGATTGAGTAAAGTCATGAGACAGGGGGCCCTCAAGAGGTTAAAGACATCTGAGCTGGTGAGTTTGCTCTGTCTTGCCAATGTATAAAATCTGCCATATGATGAAGCAAGAAGGCCCTCACCAGATGACAGCACCATGTTCTTGGACTTTTCAGCCTCAACAATCATGAGGTATTTAAATCTCTATTCGTTAAAATTATCTAGTCTGGGGCTGGAGGAATAGCACAGCCGTTAAAGGCTAAGGCTAACAACCAAAATGTAAAATTATCTAGTCTGTGATTCTCAGTAACAGCAATAGAAAATGTAATAAGATATCAACCTGTCCTTGAACCTACTCTTCCAGCAGATATTTACATGGCTTATCTATCTTTCAGTTTATCCTGAGCTCATACTATCTCAAATTTCAAAAATATTCTTGAAATTCCCTAAGTTTCCTTCCTGCTTTTTCTTCCCAACAGTTATGCTATTTAATATGCTCAATATTTAAACTACTTAACCTATTTACAATTTATCTTTAGAATATATAAAACTACTTAAAGTCAAAGATTTCCTTTATATTTTATTCAATTATAGTTCCAGAGTCCATACCAACGCATAGCACATAGGTTTTTATTAAGCTTGTGTATGTGGGGCTGGAGAGATGCCTCAGCAATTAAGACGTGTACTGCTCTTAAGAGACCTGAGGTGAGTTCCCAGCACCTACATTAAGTGGCTTACAACTACCTGTAACTCGAGTTCCAGAGAATATGACACCCTCTTTCAGCCTCTGAGGCACTTGCATTCACTTGTACATACTCACACAGACACATACACATAATTTAAAAAAAAAATAGGGGCTGGATGGATAGAGGCTCAGTGGTTAAGAATACATGATGCTCTTAAGGATGAAGGTTCAGTTCCCAGTACCCACATGACAGCTCATAACCATCCATAACTCCATTTCCAAGGGAACTCATGTACTTCAGGCATGAACATGGTACATGTAAACAGAAAGACACGACACTCATCCACTGCTGGTGGGGCTGTAAACTGGTTCAACTCCTATGGAAAGCAGTGTGGAGAACTCTTAAAAACTAGAAATGAACCTACCATTTGACCCAGTTATACCACTCCTTGGCATATACCCAAAGAATTCATCCT